ATTCGCGTAACGCATAAAAGATAATTAGAATTTTGAACAAGCAACATAAAAATGTAAGATATAAATAAAAAAATCATAATCACAATAATATTATGTATTATTTCATAGTGAAAATATGTTTTTTTTTTAAATTGAGTAAGATGAATTAAAGATCAGCATACTGTAGTTAAAAAGTATGAAATTGTAGCACAAAACTAATTATACAAGACTTCAAGTAATTATTCACATCTGACATATTTTATACTATGGAACAGATAATGCCATCTAAAAAAATAATATCGTATCAATTTGATTTCAATGCTTTTAGCTAGGTTTTTACTTAATTTTTTTTTGTAATGATAATAAAAAATAGTTTTTATAATAAAATATGATTAAATTTTATAAAAGTACAATAATTTTAGTATACTCACTAGCTAACACTGAAATTAAAACAAATGTTTTTTAAATAATTTTTTTATAGTAAATTATTAAATTTGATAAAAGTAAAACAATTTTAGTATACTCACATTGGTCACAAGCTGAAATCAAAACAAACGTTTTTAAACAATTTTCAACTATAAATAAATAAATATGATAAAAATAAAATCAATTTAGTGTACTCACCTTTGCAACCTGAAATTAAAAGAAATGTTTTTTTAATAATATTTTTGAATAATAAAGGATTAAATTTGATAAAAGTACAACGATTTTAGTATACTCACATTCTTTGCAAGCTGAAATTTAAACAAATGTTTTTTTTTTTTTTAAATATTTGTTTAATAATCAATTATTAAATTTCATATAAGTATAGAAGTTTAGTATACTTACGCACACAACCTGAAATTAAAACAAATGTTTGTTTTAAATATTTTTTGATAGTATATTATTAAATTTGATAAAAGTAATATAAGTTAAGTATACTCACACGGACAAGCTGAAATTAAAACAAATTCATTTTTTTAATAACTAATGAAATATTTACAACATATTATAAAAAAATCCAAATTTAAAATAATATTTAATGCCTAAATGTATATAGACTATTTAACTATGACCCACTCAATAACTAAGAAGAAATTAGATTTTTTTATTCTTTTTATACTTTTATGAGTTTATAAGTTGGGACAAATTCATTATATTTTTAAAAAATATAACCCTATCCCTTATATGTTAAAATCATAAAAACTTGGGGTTTTTAAAGGCAACTAATATATTTGATTAACTTATTAAATTAAGAATAATTTGCTGAACATTGTGATTGGTTGATAACCGTTTAGATAATTATCTTCAAAGTTATATAAGTTTAAAATTTAGGGCGGAAGGAAGGACAGAGATCAGATATATTTTTATCTGAGCGCATTCACTTAATCGCACTTCCCCTCCAGTTTAACATGTAAACTACAAAAACTTTTATACTAATTATCCAAAACTGGTTAGCGACCAGTCTCAAAATGTTCAGCAAATTATTTAAAAAGTTTGTCAAAGTATTTGATGAATTAAATATACAATAGAATATTGTAAAATATTTTGAGAAAATTGCAAAATTAACCTAAATAATTTAGTTTTTACGTTTACACAGATAGGTATAAAATTATTTAGGTTAATTTTGCAATTTTCTCAAAATATTTTACAATATTCTATTGTATATTTAATTCATCAAATACTTTGATGAATTAAATCATGAATGCATCAGTAATAATTGTGTCTAGGAAGGGGGGGGGATTTTTGCCATTTGAATAATTCCAATTATTCACTCTTAAAAATAGAGACCACCCCCCCCCCCCAAAAAAATGGACTGATTGAGTAGACATTTTATTAGGAATGCCGCTTTTAAAAATGACTCTTAGATCAAAATAATATCTTCCCACTTCTTCCCTAGAAGAGAGGTAGAATTTACGTTTATTTAACGCGTTTTTTAGATTTATGAGCTTAATAATATTTCTACTAAAAATAGGCCATACCACATTTATAAAAATGTATTACATACTATAAAATTAAACTAAAATATAACAACAAATTCATAAATAAATACTAAGAAATTTAATATTTTGTGTGTAACGCTCTCTTATATCCCGAATTTTCGACAGGCGAGAGATGTATGAAATGTACGCCACCCCATTTAAACTTTATTTAAGTGCTTTCAAAAATCTTGCGAATAACGCAAGGTAAAGAATTGTATGTATTCTATATCTCGCTGTAGGGAGCGCCTTAGAAGGAAACGTTTAGCTATTGATTTTACTACGATATAATGATTTTATTTTTTTATTTTTATGCCTGCACTCACGAAGCAGCTAAGACACATGGCTAAAAACAGGAGATATTACAGTGTACAGTAATAGTAACAGTATTACAGTATAGTTATACTTTTGTAGGTCACTCATTTTACATTATATTTGATTTGGGAAAAAAACAATTATATTTTTATAATCAGGTTTAGCTTTAAACCAAAAACTACTAATTTTGATTATTAACAGTTTTTCTCAAATGAAACCGGCAATATCACTCAATTTTTGTCAAATTATTATTTTAAAAGAAGATTAGCGTAGGACGTTAAAAGAATCACCCGGTATATCTTGAACAAAGTGTTTTTAGTAAAACCGTTGGTACAAACTGTGTAAATGTTTTTCGCTAGAAATGTTAGGACATAATATATGGTTACTAGTCTCCACAAAAGTATATTATTGCATTATTATGAATAATATACTGAAATTCGTTTTATTTTTTTTTGAAAAATACATTGAAAATCATGAAAAACAACTCGTTTTGAAAAAAATCCCTTATGTTAGACAAAGGAAATAGATTATGTTAAATATTTCGATTCAAATAAACCTTTATTTTAACGTATGAATAAAGCAGCAGCCATGCTGTTGCTTAATTATAAAAAAATATAGCATATTATATCAAAAACAAAATAAAAATTATCAATTATATGGATATTTTACCCGCAATGACATTAATATTTATGTCATTTAAGCTAAAAGTTATGAATACAAAAATATAATCGTTAGTATGATAATTAACCTTAATATTTGCGTTTTAACGTGATGTTAGGAAAAAATAATTTTAAATACTGCTACGAATATCGATGCAAGTTCATCTTTAAAAATTTAAACCATAGGTTAAGTGTAAATGTAGTGCACTCAATTAAGTAAACAGATTTTGGATACAAAAATATAGCTCATGTTTTGTTGTCGTCTAAATGTTTGTTTTAAAATAAAATATACAAATGACATTGTACTTTTTTAAATAAATAATATTTTAGTGGCAGAGCATTATGCTAAACGGTTTTGATACGGTAGTATATAACTTGTTTTCGATTTTTAGATCTGTATCTTGTTTTGGACCTATATATATATCGGTATTGGAACAATAATTCTTGAAGCAGTTATTAATGATGGCATTTAAAACAAATTTTATCAGGATGTTTGTATTGTTATTTTTGGTTTTAACAATAGTTACAGGTAATATTATATATTTTGATGTAATTAAAACCTTATTTTTAAATAGTTATGTTGTATAACTTTGATCAATTTCAGTAACCCAACCAGCTGCCGTCGGTATGTTTACATTTACAAAAGAATAGTTGATAATTTACATAATATTCTGTTTTTTTTTTATAAATCATAATTTAAGTGAATTTTGAATTTTTATAAAATTATATATAAATATACATTACTGTACCTATCCAGAATGAAATCCCTAGATTGTTTTAAATGTATTATTTTCTAGAACCACCACTAGGATATCCGGTCGGTATGTATACCTTTCTGTAGATAATTAAATAATAATAATAATTCTAATGTACAATACAAGCACTCATTAAATGATTACCCTCATATTAACGAAAACACATCTCAAAAGCAGACATGCTCAAATGACTTGGAAGTAATCCCTTAAAAAATACAATTTCTGCACCAAAATCGTACATAAATAAAGTCATGACATCCTTTTTTGAAGATCTAAAATTTCTTATCAATTCCATTACAGCTAAATCATTACTAAAGTAATTAACAATTAATTAGACAAAATATATGACTAGTCATCCCTCATTATATTTTACAATATAATAAATAGACATTTACATAATAGTTTTAGTCTTTCATCATTCTGGAAACAATTTTTCTAATTTATGTAATATATTTCTATCCATTTTCAAATTAATTCATTATCATATCTTTTTGTACCCAATGTTATTTATTTGGTTTAAATATACATTTATTTTATTTTATTGGTCCTTTTGACTTATTATTAACTTTATTCCTTTTTAGTAACCCCGCCTCCAGCTGTCAGTAAGTTTACATTTATAAAATAATAAATTATAATTAACATAATATTTTTATTTTTTAATAATAATACACTTATTTCGATCATTTTTTAAATTAATTTATAATTCAATGTTGTTATGTAGTGGCGCAACTAGGTGTTCTAGTGACTTGGTGTAATACTAAATATGATGCCTTCAGCTCTTGGAGTTTACATCGTTGTTTTTACAAATGACCATAGAGGGATCACTCGCACATTACTTCTCTAAACAAAATTTATACATACATTTACTACTAGGTACATCCGTACGTATAGGTGATTGATTTTACATGAGCTTTTTATCATTATCATGAATATCATACTTAAAAAAATTCAAACTTTTAGAACAAAATAACAAATTTTTGCTACACTATCCTTAGTAAAGTATAAAAAAATTAATGTAATCAATAAGTCATGTTTACTTATACATGCGGGCGTTACGTTATCTTAATATAGGTACCATAAATATGAAGTCGCTAAAAATATGTACCTCTTAAATTGGGGTGCCCTGTTGTAAGTACCCCCCTATACCCCAGCTAATTGCACCACTGTTGCTCTGTACATTACTATTTATATTGACCAATAGTAACTTTACATTTAATTAGATAAGTAAATAATAATTTAGTTGAATTTTGCATTTATTATAGTATTGTAAAATTAAACCTTACTGTCTCCAAAGTTTAATTAATTAAAGGTTTTTACTTCATTATTATCTAGAAATGGAAACTTTCGGTATGTACACGTTTACGTAGATGAATATACATTACTGTATCTATAATTGAATTAACTGAATATTATTTTATAGAGTCGGAAACTGGCAGTAAGTATACATTTACGTAAATAAGTTAATAACAATTTAGGCGAATTCTGCATTTCTTTCAATACATTATATATATTCAATAATTTTTAATTCGATGTGGCTATGTACAGTCCTTACTTATTTTGGACTGTAAATATTCTCCTAGAAAATGAGTGTCTTATGTTTAATTGATCACCCTCTACATAAATACAATGTACTCACGGCTAATGAAAATAAATTTCCAGGGAGAGAATTAGAAAATGTAGAAGAAAACATAGAACAGGGGCAAGTAAACCAAGGGGGACCAGTGGTCTTTAAAGCATGCAAACTTATAATCAACGATGAGGAACAGCCAAAAGGTATACTCGGAAATCAAGATATAAACATTAGATGGAATGGTAAAGATAGACTGGTGATCAATAACAAATCAGTTACACCAGACAATGGATACGAGAATATAAAAATCAAGTACGACTCAATGGGAGGAATAACAGTGAATAAGCAATATATAAAAGGATTCGAAGGGTTAAAAGCTACAGGCCAAACTATTTTGAGATTGCCAAGTAATTAATAAAAATATACTATTATTTATATGTCTTAAAAAACTGCCTTCATCATCACGTGCTAGAAAATGATAAATTTATAACAATCAATAAAATTAATACCAGGCACAGTCGGGTTAATTATTATTTAATTATCTGCCATAAATTTATACATACCATCAGTTTTTATTTCTAGAAAATAATATTCAATTAATTACATTTTGGACACAGTAACTTATTATGTGATTATTTATTTAACTTTTACTAGTCCAACACTGTATAGTAAAATATTTGTAAGAAATACTTTTTTATAAATCAATTTTTTAAGACATATAAATAATAGTATATTTTTATTAATTACTTGGCAATCTCAAAATAGTTTGGCCTGTAGCTTTTAACCCTTCGAATCCTTTTATATATTGCTTATTCACTGTTATTCCTCCCATTGAGTCGTACTTGATTTTTATATTCTCGTATCCATTGTCTGGTGTAACTGATTTGTTATTGATCACCAGTCTATCTTTACCATTCCATCTAATGTTTATATCTTGATTTCCGAGTATACCTTTTGGCTGTTCCTCATCGTTGATTATAAGTTTGCATGCTTTAAAGACCACTGGTCCCCCTTGGTTTACTTGCCCCTGTTCTATGTTTTCTTCTACATTTTCTAATTCTCTCCCTGGAAATTTATTTTCATTAGCCGTGAGTACATTGTATTTATGTAGAGGGTGATCAATTAAACATAAGACACTCATTTTCTAGGAGAATATTTACAGTCCAAAATAAGTAAGGACTGTACATAGCCACATCGAATTAAAAATTATTGAATATATATAATGTATTGAAAGAAATGCAGAATTCGCCTAAATTGTTATTAACTTATTTACGTAAATGTATACTTACTGCCAGTTTCCGACTCTATAAAATAATATTCAGTTAATTCAATTATAGATACAGTAATGTATATTCATCTACGTAAACGTGTACATACCGAAAGTTTCCATTTCTAGATAATAATGAAGTAAAAACCTTTAATTAATTAAACTTTGGAGACAGTAAGGTTTAATTTTACAATACTATAATAAATGCAAAATTCAACTAAATTATTATTTACTTATCTAATTAAATGTAAAGTTACTATTGGTCAATATAAATAGTAATGTACAGAGCAACAGTGGTGCAATTAGCTGGGGTATAGGGGGGTACTTACAACAGGGCACCCCAATTTAAGAGGTACATATTTTTAGCGACTTCATATTTATGGTACCTATATTAAGATAACGTAACGCCCGCATGTATAAGTAAACATGACTTATTGATTACATTAATTTTTTTATACTTTACTAAGGATAGTGTAGCAAAAATTTGTTATTTTGTTCTAAAAGTTTGAATTTTTTTAAGTATGATATTCATGATAATGATAAAAAGCTCATGTAAAATCAATCACCTATACGTACGGATGTACCTAGTAGTAAATGTATGTATAAATTTTGTTTAGAGAAGTAATGTGCGAGTGATCCCTCTATGGTCATTTGTAAAAACAACGATGTAAACTCCAAGAGCTGAAGGCATCATATTTAGTATTACACCAAGTCACTAGAACACCTAGTTGCGCCACTACATAACAACATTGAATTATAAATTAATTTAAAAAATGATCGAAATAAGTGTATTATTATTAAAAAATAAAAATATTATGTTAATTATAATTTATTATTTTATAAATGTAAACTTACTGACAGCTGGAGGCGGGGTTACTAAAAAGGAATAAAGTTAATAATAAGTCAAAAGGACCAATAAAATAAAATAAATGTATATTTAAACCAAATAAATAACATTGGGTACAAAAAGATATGATAATGAATTAATTTGAAAATGGATAGAAATATATTACATAAATTAGAAAAATTGTTTCCAGAATGATGAAAGACTAAAACTATTATGTAAATGTCTATTTATTATATTGTAAAATATAATGAGGGATGACTAGTCATATATTTTGTCTAATTAATTGTTAATTACTTTAGTAATGATTTAGCTGTAATGGAATTGATAAGAAATTTTAGATCTTCAAAAAAGGATGTCATGACTTTATTTATGTACGATTTTGGTGCAGAAATTGTATTTTTTAAGGGATTACTTCCAAGTCATTTGAGCATGTCTGCTTTTGAGATGTGTTTTCGTTAATATGAGGGTAATCATTTAATGAGTGCTTGTATTGTACATTAGAATTATTATTATTATTTAATTATCTACAGAAAGGTATACATACCGACCGGATATCCTAGTGGTGGTTCTAGAAAATAATACATTTAAAACAATCTAGGGATTTCATTCTGGATAGGTACAGTAATGTATATTTATATATAATTTTATAAAAATTCAAAATTCACTTAAATTATGATTTATAAAAAAAAAACAGAATATTATGTAAATTATCAACTATTCTTTTGTAAATGTAAACATACCGACGGCAGCTGGTTGGGTTACTGAAATTGATCAAAGTTATACAACATAACTATTTAAAAATAAGGTTTTAATTACATCAAAATATATAATATTACCTGTAACTATTGTTAAAACCAAAAATAACAATACAAACATCCTGATAAAATTTGTTTTAAATGCCATCATTAATAACTGCTTCAAGAATTATTGTTCCAATACCGATATATATATAGGTCCAAAACAAGATACAGATCTAAAAATCGAAAACAAGTTATATACTACCGTATCAAAACCGTTTAGCATAATGCTCTGCCACTAAAATATTATTTATTTAAAAAAGTACAATGTCATTTGTATATTTTATTTTAAAACAAACATTTAGACGACAACAAAACATGAGCTATATTTTTGTATCCAAAATCTGTTTACTTAATTGAGTGCACTACATTTACACTTAACCTATGGTTTAAATTTTTAAAGATGAACTTGCATCGATATTCGTAGCAGTATTTAAAATTATTTTTTCCTAACATCACGTTAAAACGCAAATATTAAGGTTAATTATCATACTAACGATTATATTTTTGTATTCATAACTTTTAGCTTAAATGACATAAATATTAATGTCATTGCGGGTAAAATATCCATATAATTGATAATTTTTATTTTGTTTTTGATATAATATGCTATATTTTTTTATAATTAAGCAACAGCATGGCTGCTGCTTTATTCATACGTTAAAATAAAGGTTTATTTGAATCGAAATATTTAACATAATCTATTTCCTTTGTCTAACATAAGGGATTTTTTTCAAAACGAGTTGTTTTTCATGATTTTCAATGTATTTTTCAAAAAAAAATAAAACGAATTTCAGTATATTATTCATAATAATGCAATAATATACTTTTGTGGAGACTAGTAACCATATATTATGTCCTAACATTTCTAGCGAAAAACATTTACACAGTTTGTACCAACGGTTTTACTAAAAACACTTTGTTCAAGATATACCGGGTGATTCTTTTAACGTCCTACGCTAATCTTCTTTTAAAATAATAATTTGACAAAAATTGAGTGATATTGCCGGTTTCATTTGAGAAAAACTGTTAATAATCAAAATTAGTAGTTTTTGGTTTAAAGCTAAACCTGATTATAAAAATATAATTGTTTTTTTCCCAAATCAAATATAATGTAAAATGAGTGACCTACAAAAGTATAATTATACTGTAATACTGTTACTATTACTGTACACTGTAATATCTCCTGTTTTTAGCCATGTGTCTTAGCTGCTTCGTGAGTGCAGGCATAAAAATAAAAAAATAAAATCATTATATCGTAGTAAAATCAATAGCTAAACGTTTCCTTCTAAGGCGCTCCCTACAGCGAGATATAGAATACATACAATTCTTTACCTTGCGTTATTCGCAAGATTTTTGAAAGCACTTAAATAAAGTTTAAATGGGGTGGCGTACATTTCATACATCTCTCGCCTGTCGAAAATTCGGGATATAAGAGAGCGTTACACACAAAATATTAAATTTCTTAGTATTTATTTATGAATTTGTTGTTATATTTTAGTTTAATTTTATAGTATGTAATACATTTTTATAAATGTGGTATGGCCTATTTTTAGTAGAAATATTATTAAGCTCATAAATCTAAAAAACGCGTTAAATAAACGTAAATTCTACCTCTCTTCTAGGGAAGAAGTGGGAAGATATTATTTTGATCTAAGAGTCATTTTTAAAAGCGGCATTCCTAATAAAATGTCTACTCAATCAGTCCATTTTTTTGGGGGGGGGGGGGTGGTCTCTATTTTTAAGAGTGAATAATTGGAATTATTCAAATGGCAAAAATCCCCCCCCCCTTCCTAGACACAATTATTACTGATGCATTGATCATGGAAATCAATTTGTTCCTGTATGCAGAATGAAAATAATTATGCTAATGAGTAACAATATCGGTGCAAATATCTATTGGTTTTAACACAGTTTCTAATTCGTTGTATAACGTAATTTAATTTTATAGTGCACATAGTACGAAGGATCTAAACCTAATTATACACTCAAATAGTTTGTTTTATACATATTTCATTAGTATGTTCAGAAACTTGTACAAGAGTAACAATACTGATGTTTGGAATTTTGACAAACAGCCTATCACTATTATGTGTTTAAGTAAATACATAATATATTTCATCCAAAAATTCGAGATATCCTACAGTTTACATATAGTAGTTAATATACTATATTCTTCTTTATGAGAAATGCAAATTACATGGTTAAATTTTCCAACAATCATTTAATTTCATGCAACTAAAGTATTCTTTCTTGTAAGTATATTTTCAAAAATGATTTATGCAAAAAAAATGGAATTTTAAAATATCTATTAGAATTAATATATAGACCGTGTTTAAAATAACCGAACAAAATCCACATTGACATCATGAAAGGGCCTCAGTTAACCTAACCTAACCTAAACTTAACAATTGCTGATTGATAAAATAATATTCATAAAAAAGGCATAAAAATGTTAATGTGACGTTGCCGCCGATAGTATATTTTATTTAGTAGAAATATGA